TATTTTTAAAGAGCTAAGGAGGCAGCATGGAGCCAAAGCAATAAGTCTTGTCCTCTTCCCTTTTGAGGTTCACCATTAGAGTATGTTAGAGTATATCTAATAACCTAAAAGCACCATTTTAGACCAACCAGCAAAAAAAGACACGAGGGCTTTCCTGACTGGGAATGACCGTGAGGGACAGTAGAAGGAGGAGTGATGATGCAGGGTCAACACCAAATGCTAGAAATGATATGTGGCTGAGCCTTGAAAACGCTTCTGAACCAGCCTCTCTAGTCCTGAGGACAAGACTTGAAAGTAAGGGTTCTTTGGTAAGTGGAAGTGTAATGAGCACCACTCAGTCCTTTCTAAAGCCCTTAGAAACCCTAGCTTCCCCTCATAGTCACATATCTCCACATTATTGCAGATGGAATGGTATCATCTTCCAGCTGGGTGGCCACCTATTTTTAACAGCAACACCTTGTGGCAGTTTAGAACTGAATCATTGGATTTAGTTCCCAGAGAACATTAAAAAAAAAACACACACAAAGGGAAATGGGAAAGGTAGCCTCTTAATGCAAATAATACAAAGCAATATGATCTTATTTTGTACCTCAGGCTGGAGAAAAGGGGTATATCACTAACACAAGGGTTCACATTTTAAAATGGAACTCATGTGTGCAGAACTTGAACTAATCAGTTATGCCACATGACTTGCTTTTTTATTCATTTATTGGTAACATAGCACCCATGCCTGTGAATTAGGTTGACAATATTTTACACGCATCTATCTGCATGCTGCTTTTCCTCCCATTACCTCAGGTACCTACTACCTTGAATGTTATGCTTCTTTTTGTATTCTTCTAATAGCTTTATCATGTATATTTGTATAACAAATTGGTGGGTTTGTTTTTAGAATTCTATAAGACGGTATTATGCTCTTTGTTGTCTTTTGTAATTTATTTTGCTCTTATTTTTCCATTCAACACCATATGTAGCTATAGTTCATTCACTTTCACTGCCCTATAATGATTTCTTTATCTTGTCTCCTACCAATGAATATTTGAATTATTTCTAGTTCTTTTGCTATTTTAAAGAATATTTTTAAAGATTTTATGAAAAACATAGCTAACATAAAATACTATAGTTTCAGAGGTACTCCATAGTTATTCAACATTTATATTCCTAAAGAGGTGATCACTATAAGTTCAGCAACCATCTGACACTATACTACGCTATTGCAATATTATTGACTATATTTCCCATGCTGTATGTTATATTCCATGACTTGTTCGTTTTATACCTGGAAATTTGGACCACTTTTTTCCCTTCACCTTCCCCCCCCCAACACTTTCTAATTTTTCAATTACAGTTGGCATTCAATATTATTTGATATTAATTTCAGGGGGTACAGCATACTGGNATTCAAATGCAACTTTTTTGGGTATATATTTTACACTTATTAAAAATCAGGATACCAATTAGCAATACAAAATATGGATAAACCTGAGGAAGAAAAGAAGACACTGAATAGAATATCCCTGCTAATAAAACAGAAATTGCCAACTGTTATGATTAAGATAATACATGAATTAAACACATTCGTTGAATCTGTGGTCTCAGTTACAGTTTCCATTTCTTCTTTCATTTAAAAAATGTTGAATCTTACAACAGTAAAATCTAGTATAGGCTCAACTTTCAGCTGACAAATGACTGATTCCTGACAGGATACGTGTTTTTAAAATTGTTATTTCCATATTTATTTACCTATCAGTTTTTGTTGTTGATGTTTCAAAATACATCTGGTCAGACACTGAGGAAGAAGAAATACATGGAAATATCACACAAAGTGTGTGTGGTGGTGAGAAGAGGATAGCTGTCCTCAAGTTCAGCTTATGTTTTGATCCCTTATGAATAGTATAAAAGGTTTTGTGTGTCCTCTTCATCCCAGTCTTGGCTTTTCCTCATCTTCTGTTCACCTTTCTAACATTATTTTTTCTTTACCTGGAAGTAGTGGGTATATGAAGTATTCTGAAAAGGAGGGGTTTTTAGTTCAAAAAGATGACTCCTTTTTTTCCCTCAAGTCTTATAAACTAAGAGCCTTCCATGGCAGCCACAAATCTCACATGCACACTTTAAGTGACTTAATTCTTCTAAGTTCCAGTTCTATTTCTTCAATTCACTCATGCAGAATAAGTCTATTCAGTTTCTTTTTGAATAAACAAATTAGCGTTATGGAAATGTGAGCTGAAAATTTTACCTAGTAAAATGTAATTAAGCGCTCTGCGAAACCAGGGATAGAAGAAACCATATATTAAGGGATTACATGTGGAATTAAAATAGCCAAACCATGTCAAAGCATCAAACAAAACTCCAGGAGTAGAGAAGTTCAAAAAGGGATCCAATAAAATTGTGAAGAAACAGGGAAACCAACATAATAAGAAAACACCCATCACTATTCCTAAAGTTTTGGCTGCTTTTCTGTCTTTCTTCATTTGATTATTTTGATTTTCTGGTACAGTATTGATTGTACAAGCATGTTTTCTGGATACTGCAAAAATTTTGCCATATATCCCTACCATCACAGACCCAGGAGTGANCACCCCTCACCACCTCTAACAAGCAATGGTTCATTGCTGATCTATTTGGGCAACAAGAAAATCTATGGCTTTTTCTGCTTGTCATTTCTCCCATCTAGTCCTTGCTAATCAAAGTATGGCTCATAGGCCAGCCACATCATCCTCTTCTGGGAACATTTTTGGAAAGAAAAAATCTGAGACCCACCCCAAAACGTAATTCTTAGGAAGTTACCTATGTTATTTATATGCTGAATACAAATACTGAACTGGAGAAGAACAGTTCTTGACAGTAGAGAAACCTCCTTTTTATTTGGGCACTCTTTGTATCTGAAATGAGTGAATACCTTGAGGGGCAAAGAAAAGCAGAATATTTTCAGTAAATGCTGCTTGCAAGAGAAAAAAATACCAAAAATGAAAATATGTAGCATCTGGCAGTGGATTAAGTAGTATGTAACAGGATTTTTAAATTAAGATATAATTTCAAAGAGATGAGTATATTTTAATGTTATTAAAATTCATAAGTACCTTCCATTCACTAAATCATGTCTTTCATAGTTCTTATATTTTGTAAAAACATTTCTTATGTTGGCACTACATGGAAATTTATAAATTGCCAAACAAATCTGGATGGAAAATGTAAAACCTTTCTTTCACTAAAATATTGTAATAATTATATCCCAGTTAAGAAAAAAACAACAAAACTACCTTCTCTATTGCATCCTATTTGTAACAATTTCTTGCTCTCTTTAAATTTTAATTGTCACTGTTCAATTATGTTGAAGAAGAGAATAAATCAACAATTAAAAGGATAATACATTTGCAGTTCTTTTTATTGACCAAGTACCTTCCCTCTCCTGAAAAGCTAGTTGTGAATCATTGCTTCTCTTCTGATGGTTTTGCAGGCCTGAGGTCAAGGAAATTCCAAAAAAAATAGTGTGGAAGATTAAGCTATCTGATTAATATATGTTTGCCTCTGCTCTCAAGAGAACTGGAGTGAAGAACTCAGATCCAGGAGCTCCAAGCAGAGCCCCAATGGAATTGTTCTTTTAACTCTCTTTCCTGGGGGATATTGAAATAGTCTTTGTATTTTTAATGTTCCAGATAGTTTTCAGTTTCTTTCTTCCCAATGAAGGACAACATTTCATAGTGATTTCATAGTCACTTGTGTTTCATTTTGCAAAGCTATATTAAAATTACGTAGACATGTGCAGGCTGAATTAAATGTTGGCTGATATCCAAATGAGGAAAAATTGTCTGACTCATAAAACATTTCTGTTTAAACTTTGATTCCCAAATATATTGAGAACATTTTGGGGTGAGAGGGGAGTATTTACTTTTGCTTCAGCAACTTGTACCAGTTTGACTAAAACCCTTAGTAAAAATAAATAAATAAAGGGTAAAAGTTGGAAAATGTCACAAATTTTTTTTTAAAAACTAGTTCAGTAAACAAAGAACACCAAACAAAGAACACCAAACCAAACAAAGAACACCTGCTTCTACAATTGGTTGCATAATCTGGGAAAATTTACTAATTTCCCCAGGTCCTTTTTTCTCATCTGTAACTTCCTATAAAATTCTGGGTGTGGAGGGAAGATACTACTTTACTCATGCTGGGAAATGAAAGCAGGATGGATGATGGGAGGCAGAAGTAGATAGGAGGCTTGATTACCCTTTCACTAGCAAACTGGGAAGGATGACCGCACTATGAAACTAAAACGTGCCATGGAAAGGTGCAGAGAAAATTATGTTTCAAGGAAAGGGGAGTAACTGAGCAGAGCTTTACAGAGAAGTTATTTGAATGATGTTCTGAAGTACAGATAAGGTTCTAATAGAAAGAGAGGAGCATATTATAAGAAACTTTATGGCCCCCATAGGGCTGCCAAGTTTTTATTTCATCGCTAAGCACCAGCATAAACAATAACCACCATCACAAACATCATCATTCTGTAAAAAGGACAGTCATAAACTCGTTTTCAACATATGTCAACAGGCAACCTTACACCATGCTATTTAGTTTTATTTTCTATTGTCAGGTGTTAATGAATTGAAAGGTAAATTTAATACATATTAACTCAAAATATTTCTAATTTACAGTAAGGCTAAATCTATTTTACTTATTTCTTAGCAATTAGCCTTTAAATAAAAAGAGAAAGTCTTTGTGTGTG